TTATCAGCAATAATACTTTCTATATATTGGTAAATTCATTATATCTATAGTTTTTTTTTTAAAAAAAACTAGTCGCACTTTCTAATTTCTAATCGTGCTCAATCGTTAATCATCCCATATGTTACAATAATTCATTTCTTGTTCGTTATAATAATTGTCACCATCTTCTCAATATTTTCCTTTTCAACATCCATTTCACCAACGATTGTTTCTTGACTTTCATTAAATGTTTCTTGACTTTCATTAAACGTTTCTTGACTTTCATTAAACGTTTCTTGACTTTCATTTATCATACCCTGATCCTTACTAAACATGCCTTGATCTTCATTAACCATACCTTGATCATTAACTATTTCTTGACTTTCGTCATTTAATACTTCTACCTCATTGTCAGCATAACTTATTTGCTGGTTCAAATGATCATAATTAAAGATCAAATTATCTTCGGATCTATCACGATTATTGGATATGCCGCAGTATTTAAAAGACTGTTAGATTAAGCCAATATCAATCGCGTCCCATGAAGCCTTGATTCAACTTACTACAATTTCATAAGAAGGTCTTCTAATTTTACCAGAGGGCGTTAGGTCTCTTACAGCGTCAATCATCTATTCAGAATAGTGTAGTCGCATCTATATGATAGTAATTAAAGTGCAAAAAAAAAAAAAAAAAAAAAAATTGTTAATAAATGATTTTTTATTTTATTTAATTTTTTATTTTCTTTCACCTTCATTTTAAATGATTTGTTTATCAAAATATCCAAAGGCTGTAAGCAAGATGTTAATCCTTCAGGAATAACGGCGATGTTAGTTTTTTTTCATAAAAGTATTTTTTTATAGGACCAGCGATATGCACAGAAAACGAATTTAAAACTAATAATGATGGTTGATTTGAAAGTATTGCGTGCTTTACCCATACATTGTCAATCCAGTAAATCATCTCATTCTCATTCATTCATCCAGAAGGATTAGCACAAACAATAACTTTCTGTGAAAAATTTCCTCGTGGAACATTTTTGAGTTTAAAGATTACAAGAAGAGGAAGCTTTGTTCCATCTGACATACACGCCAAAACTATTGTAAAATTACTTTTTTCATGGCCTGTAGTATGAATACTAATTGATCGTACACCAGATACATCTACGGTAGTATTGTATAGTAAATCAAATGCCATAGGTGTTTCATCCATGTTGCCCATCAATGCAAGAGGATAATCATGCTGGATACGCCTATACATAACAAATACTAAAAATGAATATTGTTGTTCAATTAAATCATCGGATAAGCATTGTGAAACTGTGGTGCGGCGACGATTACTCAAATTGTTATGACACATTAGACCATCTAACCATTTATTACTAAAGCCAAATAACTGAATACTGGGACATGTAAGTTGCCATTGATGTTCTTGGAAAAGTGTTTTAGCTTTCATTTGAATCATATGTCGTGAAACTGCTTGCTGATTTTTCCGTCTTTCTTTAATCCACTCAACTAAAAAAGTTTCTAATTCAGGATATTTTGGAGAAGGACCTTTATTTAAACGCTTTAAACCTGGCTGTGCCTTTAAAAGTAATGATTTTTTAGATATCCAGTCTCGAAGTTGTTTGGTTTCAATATTAAATTTAGATGCCGTTTGACTTTTGCTATGACTATTTTTATAATATAAAATAATGGCAATCTTTTCTCGTGCATTCCACTGTCGGTGTGTTTTATTTGTAAATGTTGCACGATTTGTTCTTTTGTTTGCTCGTAAAACCATTTTTATTTATTTAAAGTTAAATAAAGAAATTCGATCATTTATGATTAAATTTCTTTTTATTTATTATAATGCATCTGTTAAAATAAACTCACTTTTACTATTTTTATATCATTACTATATGATTCGAATCAATAATTACATTATACGATCACTTGCATAATCAATACTCTTTTCAGTATACCTCCCTTGTATAGTACCCCTCTCTTCACACAGTACCCCTGGGGGTACTATTTAATTAATCTTAGATTTCTTGTAAAAGACTGGGGGTACTATATACAACGCTATACGGTAATAGAGTCTCAATCTTGTGAAAGATTATAAATATATAACTATAACATTAAAACTATGATCCTGACATCCTATAGCTGTTTCAAAGAGTGCCCATCAGCAATCTGCCGCACTGGTGAAATAAAACCAAAAGATAATACTCTAACCAGAGGGCTCGTCTGACCCACCACTTTATAATAGGATACCACCAATCTGATGACATCTTCTTGTAGAGAAGTGAAAAAAAAAAGAAAAAATTATATAAAAAATACAGAGGTATAGGGAGATATGATAAAAAATACAAACAAGAAAATAAAGAAGTAAAGGAAAAATAAAAAAAAAGAAAAATGTAAGATATTTCACCTATATCAGATGGTCACAATTATAAGCCTATGTCAAGTTTTGTAAAAATTATATACTATTATCTAAACTAGTTTCTATTCTAATTTAACTAATTAGTATATTTAAGCGAAAACCTAAAGGAAAAAAAGCTCTTCGACATTAGCACTGTACTCTAGCACTATAAGCTCTTCAGCTTCTTTTGTTTAAACTCCCATAGAAGCATAAACAAAAGCATGCTTCGGGCACCATAAAGAAGTCAAAAATTTGCACAGTTGGTCTCAAAGCATTGTTTGTCCAGATTGCTACTTCTGAGGCACGTAATCTATATGTTCATATTCTATAAATATTTACGTGATTGTTGTAATAGGAAAAAAATAAACAATGTCAACCAATTTGGTAAGTAAACAATATGTTGATCTTTTAGAGGAGGTAAGCTAAATCACCCACTTTTTTACAAAATTTTCCTCGAAAAAAAAGCAAAGAGTCAACAAAAATATGTGAGGTTCTTTTGTAAGTTTTACAGTTGTATAGACAATTCTTTAAGCTTCAACTATCTCAGCGAGAGTCTTTTGACTACTACTTGTTCTCAGAATAGCCCTTCTAATTTAGATGCCAAATAATTTAAGAGTCCGTCTGATATAGCAAAGACTTGACCCCAAGAAAAACCATCCAAGTTATGTCTGCTCCTTGGTGTATTACATCTTCTAGATTTCATCGACAACAATCTACACTTAAGTGATATTAGTTCTCAAAAAACCCTTCTAGTTTGGATGCCAAATAACTTAGAGAGTCCACCCCCAAGCAGAAGAAGGCTTGACCTCAAGAAAAACCACCCAAAGTACGCCCGCTTCTTGGTATTTCACATCTTTAAGCTTCATCGACAACTGTATTACTTTAAGGTAGGACTGAGAAGTATCTCTCTTGGATGTTCTTATATCATTTTTCTGTAATTCAGTTTGCTGTTGTTGTTAACCAGAGGATCATCAGAAAGAGTTGTTTTAACAATTCTGGCAAAATATTATTTATTATATTATTTTATATAAAATTACTATATAATTAATAGTTTTTTATCTATATCTTTTGATTTAATAATCCAAATTGAATAATTTTGGTACTATTAGATTCCTCTCATTGAGACGAATCTAATGGTACTAAAATTATTTAATTTGGATTACTGGTCACAAGATAATTAAGGTTTTGTAAAAATTTATATATAAACATATGGATTTTTAAAATTTTTTTATATAGTCTAGGGGGGGTTAAGAGTTTCTATATGGGGATACATAACATTATTTATGAATGCCCCTATTGAAAGTTTGGGATAACAGATGTATAGCAAATAGTCTGTATAGTAGGTGCTGGAATTTGGGCGAACTCTATAAGGGCAGTAGTAAGTAACTGTAGCGGCCTCAGCTTACGAGTACTTGTTCTCAGACTCAGCATAAGTTATTGAAGAAGACTAGATAATATGGTAATAGTGGGTACCAGACTGCTCTAGCAGATGATGCACTTGAGAATGAATTGGTTAATCATGCCAGTAGTCCTATAGGTGGCACATAATAATCTTGGAACTTAAACTGACTTTATATTGCATGTTCTGAGTAAGATTTAATGGATTGGCAAAGAAACTCAGATCAGAGGATCTAATTGGATAACTCAAGTAATAGTACATTATAGGTACAGCATCTAATGTAAAACCTAGTAATAGGTAAATACTTAATTAGATGCTCAAAAGGCACAGATATGGCTAGAATGTATTCTTATTAGAATGTACTTGTCTGAGGCCTCTTAAAAAGAGTATCATATAATTCTACGATCTAATAAAAGTGTAAAGCCAAAGAGACTAACCTTGAAAAAAAATAAAAAAAAAATAAAAAAAATAAAAAGAATAACCTTGTTTCAATCTTAATAATCTGCTTTTTTTTTTTTTTTTATTTATGATTTTGCCATATACATGATAAGATTAGTTACAATTTTTCTATCACAATGATATATTAATTTAACTATCTATTTATATCTTGTATA